GAGGAAATGAAAATAAAACGCGAGAATGCAACTAACAAAACGAGGAAAACCGCGGATCCGCGGAGATTTCACAGGCCTGTGTTGTAGGTCTCGAGGCCGGTCTTGGCCTCGAGACCGGCCTCGAGACCGTTTTCCTTGGTCTCGGCCTCGGTCTTGGCCTCGGAGTGCAATGACTCGGACTCGGACTCGGACTCGAACCCTCCGGACTCGAGGACTCGGGTCGAGGCCGGCTCGAGGCCACTACATACATAGTACACAACTGTACATATTGTAACACGCAGTTTACAAGAATTTCAAACTAAAAATCCTAGGTTTTCTAGATACACGACCTAATCTTGTAACGTTTTCAATGGCTCGATTAAGATTCTTGTCCCTTTGGTTTGAATCTGCTGTCACTTTGTCCCTTTGCGCTTTTTCTACCATTTCGAAGGTACTAGCACTATCTCATTTGGTTCAACAAGCCGTGTCATTCTCTTAAAACACAAATGGATCCGTTACTTTGACACGTTTTGTATGACTCGTCTCTCTGTGTTTGGCTGACTATACACTTTCGAATGTCTACGATGCACTGTTGCGATTTTTTCCCTTTATTCCCCCGATTTTTTCCCTTTTTCCGATTTTTCCCCTTTTTTCATCAAAACTGGACTCGGACTCGGACTCGGACTCGGGTGGTGCGGACTCGGACTCGAACTCGGACTCGGGTGGCGGGGACTCAGACTCGGACTCGGACTCGAACTCGGGGGGTGCGGACTCGGACTCGGACTCGGACTCGGGGGGTGCGGATTCGACTACAACACTGCTTATAAACCGTAATACCTATCGTTATTATCTATATGTGCACTCATCTACTCGTCCGGTCATATATGAAACCGTAGAATAAAACCACCCATGGATGTATATTATATATATGGTCACCGGAGATAATTTGATACGGTACAAATGTACATACACGAATTGCCACATGCATTCTCACACAGACAAATGCAATGCACACGCACACACACGCGCGCACACACGCACGAAGGAACGCATGAACGGGCGAACGCACGCACGCACGCAAGCACGCACGCACGCACGCACGCACGCACGCACGCACGCACGCGCGCGTTTACAACGCCCACGTGCAACACAACAGCACGTATCACCGACACGCGTATATGCACGCACACACGTCGCACAGACGCGCTCACGCACACACGTCGCACACACGTCACACACACTCGCTCACGCACACACGTCGCACACACGCGCTCACGCACACACGCGCTCACGCACACACGCACACGCGCTCACGCACACACATCGCACACACGTGCTCACGCGCACACATTGCACACACGCGCTCACGCACACACGTCGCACACACGCGCTCACGCACACACGTCGCACACACGCGCTCACGCACACACGTCGCACACACGCGCTCAGCCCACATGTATACGCGTTCACGCACACACATCGCACACACGCGTTCACGCACACACGTCGCACACACGCGCTCACGCACACACATCACACACACGCGCTCAGCACACATGTATGCGCTCACGCACACACGCGCTCACGCACACACGCACTCACGCACACACGTTCATTTCACGAATTACGAAATCTGGTCTGGAATTGTTTACTTGCAAGCCACCCTGGCCTTTAACTAGCCCTTCCAAACAATTACTAGTCCCGGGCTAGCGGGCTAGCGGCTAATTCGACCCCTGTGACCGTATGTCGAGCAGTTAAGATTTGTGTCCAACTGTTGACGGACGGACGCACGCACGCACGCACGCACGCACGCACGCACGCACGCACGCACGCTCATGCGATTCGACAAGCTGCATCAAATGAGCTAAAAATCCAACTCAAATGAAATTTCACAATTAACTGTGAACATTACGAAAATGTAAGTTTGGAAGGAGAACTCACTTGTAACCGCACTGATTGAGTCGCCACTGCATAGGCGACGAGGTTTCCGTACAGTAGATGTCGGTGAAGAGTGGCGCCATCTGCTGAGTGACTCTTCCATCGCCAGCGCCGAGGTCTAACAAACTCTGTGCTCTCCAGCTCGAGTTCGCTCCCATCAGTTGTAGCAGCTGATTGGTGGACATGACAAACATCGAACCGCGTCCGAGGAACCTGACAAAAATCAACAACATAAGCATGTGGAGCCACTCCCTAAATAAACCTCTCCCTAAGATCGCCTAAACACAAAACAGGACGAATTCTACGACGTAGCAAAAATAGATCATATATTATATTGCATATATATAACTACATATACCCCCTCGGCGCCCCTTATTGGCGCCCCCTCTTAGACAGGGACCTAGGGTATATGAGGAGGAGAAGACACGCTGAAGAACACAGTTTTTTTCAGCTGTAAAAAGTTAGAAGAACCTGACGAAGACTACCACAAGTCGAAACTAGTCGTTCATTTTGTTAACTTCGTGTAGCAATTGCTACCGAAACTTTTTAATATATAATTTATAATGGCAACAACAAAGCCATCAGCTAATCCCCGGGGGTATTTCAAGTTGAGCTGTGCCTCCGTAGGAGGCTGTCCAGGGGCCTCTTACGCTCACATATGTCCCTATATAACTACATATATATAATATATATATATATATATATATATAATATGCAATCATATATAATTAATATTGCAGTTCTTGTACTGGTCGTGCCAACACTGCTAGATGTTAATGCATTGCTGACAGCAATGGCCATGGGGTCTACGGAGTATTTTCAAGCTCTTTCTTTGAGACTGCGGTTAACATGCACAAGTGTTGCACATCACCGCTACTTGGCCGAGTCTCTTATTTTTGAGACGCGAGTACAGTCGTTTCATAATAAGTAGTATCGTAAATATATATATAGTATGTAAATATGTAAATACATACTAGTAAATTTCGCAAAACTTGTTTCGGTGAAAAACAATCACGTATAGTCGGAGTGTGGTATAATGTCAAAACGTAAAATATCAACAAGCAGCCATCTCTTAATTATCACATTTTATTCTCTTATCACATAGTTGTCAGTATAGGAATAAATATTTAACAGGTCACTAAACTGCCTACCGCACACGAGCTGTGAGTTGTACTCAACGCAAGCATTCCTAATTACACTTCTAGTCACAGCCGGCCAACTGTGAATTAAACCTTCCTTCAGGCGTTGAAAAGTAAATTGAAATAAATTTTCGCCTCCTAAATCGCGTGCGGAAAAGGCGAGCACGTTAAAATGCGCGACACGGCATCTAGAGCAGTGGTTCTTTTGTTCAGTCATGGACCCCTTAGAGAATCTGGTGAAAGCTACAGACCCCTCCACAGAAAAATGCACATAAACACGTAAACACAAAATGTTGCATACAACTGTGTTCACGGAAGCCCTGTAGACCATCCACGGCATGGACCACAGGTTAAGAAACACCATGGGTCTAGAAGCAGTGGCTTCTCACCCTTTTTTTCTCTTGTGCCACATAGGAACATTTTGGAATAGTGTGTGCTCGGCACCAGCAATCAGTGGCGATGATGAAAGCTCCTTCTGCTCATTCATGATTGGCCACCACCCCCGTTAATAATACAATTGCACCTCTAATGAATGCATCATAGGCTGCCTTGCGTTTTCCAACATATCCGGTGATCTTAACGCCGTGCGCACGCCACATGATTTGAAATGTTAAATTCAATGAGTGCTGACTTTGAGGATAACAGTATAAATACCTGGTGTAAAGTTGTGGAATTGTTCAAAAGATAGGTGAGATGTCTCATGTTGATATATAAGTGTTTAAAAGCCCGATCATTTTCGTTTTGGGGTATAAATTTTTTGGTCACATCAAGCCGGACCATTTCGCTTAGATATATCTATGGGATCATGTGCTATAGCCCTGCGGCCAGCGATCCGCGCGGGCTATATGTACTAGAGCTGACTGCAACCCTATGTGAGAAATGTGTTACAGTCATCTTAAGGCGGCCAGCTAGACTGTGGCGCACTCAGACGACATCACTGTGCGCGGCATGCCCACGCGTGCCGCAGTTGAGAAGCACTGCGTCTAGAGGAACGGGTGCGCGGCGCTAACATTCCGCCCCGCCGCCGCCAGGCGGTCGCGCCTCATCCGAGGTTGATCTCGTCGAATGTGGTCGCGCACGACACCCTGTCGGTCCGCGAGACGCATACAAAGTAATTGACGAGTCGCGCCTGACTGACGGTGGTCGTTTCCGCATCCTCCTTCTTCTCCTCCGCCCCATCCGCCTCCAGCACCAGCTTCTCGGCGGTGGGAAAAGGAGGGCGGCCAACGCTCGCCAGGCCCGCGCGCACCGCGAGAGGCGACCACGGACTCGGCGTCCCGGCGACGACAGGGGGCGCTGCAATCTGCACGCGGGGCGACGACCGGTAGAGGGGGGTGTCGTAGAGCGACTGTTGTATGTAGCGGCCGTCGATGGCTCTTCCGGTGTTCGCGTTCGTTCTGTAACGCAGAGGCGGCAACGATCGTCAGATGTCTGCCCTGATGGATTGCAGGCAGATAGATATGGCTAAGGGTTTGAACATCCGGGGTGTTAATCCCCGGTTTGATAAACCTGGTGATTCCTTACTGTTACTAATCCTCCCCATACCCCCCAAAAAATAATACAGGATTTGTTTCCCATGCTTTTATGCAAATGTATATTTGATTACATATTGTGATAGCAAAGATAATAGACGTCTCTGAATTAAAACAAGCAATGTATAGTCCAACCACGGACACCACTATCTAGAAAGGATATCTGTCCGGACACATTTTCGTATTTCTCTTAAGTAGCGGTCATACAACGAAACCGCATCTATAGAACGGACGCCTGTCTAGGAAGGACAATTTGACCCTGAGTGACCTTGAGTGTCCCTTATACACCCAGGTTTGACTGTAGGGGTACTATTTGAGCACTTCTTTGCTAAAAATCTTAATATACACCGGAATAAGTTATTTACAGATATCGTCCATTGTAGCCCGAATACGCGCTCCCGGGTGAGTATGAGCCAATCTGCCCAGCTGGACGTCCACACGCATACCACGGCAAGTAAACACCGTTGATAACACAGCAGCTTCCATACGAAAACACCTGCCAGAGTAAAAAAAAAAGCTGCGTGAAATTCTCTACGTTAACCACAACAGCGCGAAGTTGATGTGAAATCGATCTCCGAGAAACGATGCGGGAGCTTTATATACGATGCGATATATTTTGTACTGTAACCACTCAGAAATTTTATCATTTTAACTACTCAACACTATTGCATTTATCCGATTTTTCCTCCATGAAAAAAACTGTCGTCAGTACATGTATTTGCATCTGAATTACATGCAATAAAGATTTAATACTAATAATAATAGCTTGTCATCGTCTGAAAGCAGTAGTTGCCTACTCATACTAAGACTACAAGGTGCATATAACACTGCCTGAAATCATATTTGCTTGCATGTACTTACCGCGGAGAGTATGGACACTGCTAGACAGCTTTTCAACACACTTGTCATTTTCTGCTGTGCAAAATAAATGACCTTACTCATCAAATGTGCGCACCACGCATCCATGAACGCGTTACAGTGATAGCGATAGCAATGTAAGCTCTTTTATACTGGTCTACACCTACATACACCACACATTTATTTTATATTATCTCTCTGCCGTACATCTCTTCTTCTTACATTTCAATTCGAACCTACTATCTATCGTTCAATCGCGGAAAATCTCTTACCTAAAAATCTTAATGCGATGCACACAATCTCAGGTCTTCCGATATGATTTCCGATCGTCAGTGTTTACACTTGCGCTCCACCGGCTGAGAATCGGAGACACTGTGAACAATGCGTGCCTGCCAGTGGTGGTCGCATGCAAATCTCCTTCAAAATCTTCCTCAAGTGCGTCATATGAAATGACGCCTCTTCATTTCACAGTCCGGCAGCGTATACGTGTCAGCTGACATTCGAGCCATATTTGCCCTACATCAAAACAACTTTTTTCCACGAGGCCGGCATACGTTTATTAGGGCTCTAGCCTCTGACGTCGATGATTTATTGCAGGTAATATATTCTAACACGTAACAAGAAAGCGAGGTTCAGACTTAACCAGCGTGGATTATTGTCCGGTGACACGCCAGCTAACGGGTCACACCGGCTTGACACATACACGTGAGCACCACACACATACAAATCAGTCTCTCTCTCTCTCTCTCTCTCTCTCTCTCTCTCTCTCGGTCGTCACTCTCCTCTCTTCTCTCTCACACACACAATCAGGAGGCCTATTCTCGTTCTTTCTCTCTCCATTTCTCGTCTCTCTCTCTTCTCTTCTCTCACAGCACACACACTATCTCTCCTCCCTTCACACCCTCACGTCACGTCTATCTCTCGCTCATCGATCCTCTCTCAGATCCTCCTCCGTCTCCTCTCTGCTCCTCTCATCTCTCTCTCTCCTCCTAAACTTCCCGTCCTTCCTCCCGTCCCTCTTCTCTCTCTTTCCTCTCTCTCTCTCTCTCTCTCCGCCTCCTCTCTCCCCCTCCTCCTCCTCCCTCTTCTCTCTTCTCTCCTCTCCTCTCATCTCTCTCTTCTCTCTCCTCACTACACACA